ACACCACCCTCGCCGACGGTGCCACACTCTGTGCCGAGGGAGTCAAATCCCCTGACAACTGTCGCTGTCGACACTTCCCCGCCCCCGACTGTTCCACCCCAAGACGATGGTGCTGCCCAGGTGCCTGTTGCTGAGCAGCCCAGAAACACAGTGGAGCGGCACATGGACCCCACAAATATGCAGGAGGTGATGGATGGAAGTTCAGTTTCCTCGGCGGATTCAAGCGGAAGCTATTGGACGAATACAGCGAGAAGCATTATATCTTCTAATTCCGACGAACATGGAAACATGGTGGAGTACACGTTGGTGGATTATGTTATGCCTACAGTGGAAGTAAGTGAAATGGAGTTGAGGAGTATGAGAACATCTGTGGAAAATCTATTCGCCGTGATGCGAGGTAGACCGAAAGGTGGGGTCGGTCGTCAAACAACAGGTGCTCTTCCTAAGCGCAATACAAATGAGGAATAACCTGATGAACCAACGGTCGAAGCACCTAACGTGAAGTATCAGCTAGAAAGTAACTCGCGGAATCTTTTATCTCTCGGTGCAGAATGGAGGTTTATCAGAGAGCGAATGCCTCCCCTCTCAAACACTAGGAAACAAGGGCTCCCTTTGCCCGGAAAAGACAGTTATCTTTTTACTTGTTACACTGGCCAAGGAATCGCAGGAGCTGGAGTAAAACGATTCTGAGAGACGAAGGACTCTTTACAAGAAGCAGTTAGCTCATCAGAAGAGGGTGCTTGAGTGCGTACGAGAGTATTGCGATGACACAGATAGAGAAGACATGAAGCTTTACGATCCACAGGGAAAAGATCACAAATGGTTCCATAGGCCACCCTCTATGAATTCACCGGATAATCATGACCCATCAAACGACAAGGATAATTGAGGTGTGTAGTGCATTATGAGTGTGATTCCCAATGTGCCAATGCTTTGCCCAAAAACATAATAAGAGAGGAAGAAGGAAATCGCCAAATCCTGAGCCCCATGCTGTCCGCTCTCATTGTTCCTGTTACCACTCTGAAGAATACTCCTTTCTTCTCCCCTTTGCCCAGTATCCCTCCATTGCAATAATACCTG